TTGACATAGAAGAAAATGGTAAAGTCTTATATGGTGCTAGAATTGATTGTGATTTGAGCATTGTTTTCTTTGACTTTTAGTCTGTTTGGCTTCATTAAACAGATTTACATTCTTTGGCTTGCTGAACATTTGACAAATATCTTGGACTTGATTGACTTGTTAATTGTATCATGTGGGATAACAGATTTGTGTACTTCTTGAAACTGTAAACTGAATTATTTTTAAACCTGAGCCTAATGGATGTTTTTATACCTGGTAAATATATTTGTAACAGAATCATATGGTCTTGCTACACATTAACAACTTAGTATTTTATTTTCTTGTTAATGCTAATAGACTAAATGAAGGCAGCAGCCATGAATTAAATGAAACACTAGATTAAGAACAGTGGAGATTGATTAAAAAAAAAAAGGATTGGTAGGTGATTCATCTTCCAAAATTATTAATGAGAAATGTATTTGTGGTCTAAATATACATTTAGAATAAAGTTCAGAAATGAAGATGATTTGCTTAATCTAAAGTCAGAATAAGATTGTCAACATCAAGAATATTAGACATTTAATAATGAGATTGTAAAGCTACTTGCTAGGGCCCAGGAAGTAGCACTATTTAATTCTGAGTGGAGGTTTTCCTTTTCTGGTTAAAAACAGACATTTATCTTTAGCTAAGAAAAATCAGAATTCTTGCCAGGAAACAAAAACAAACAAACAAAAAAAACCAAACTATTTTTTGATGCTAAACTTTGTGATTTCAACAGGTATAGATTTAAAACACGTTTTGTTTTAACTGGTATATAAGGAATTTTAAGCTACCCTTTACCACTCTTACCACAAAAGTTTCTGATTTTTCTGATTTCTGAGTAGATCTTTTGAAATAGTTTCTTTCTAGAAGTTACTTTTCCCCCCTCTTTATTATTTTTTTTTTGGAGGGGGTTAAGCATATTCCAAGAATTATAAATTCTTTTTTCATTTTGTTGTGATCTCTTTCTAACTCCATGTTTTGCTGGTTTTTGGCCTATAAATAATATGGCTTGAAATAATTTTTTTCTAGTAATATTCCAAGACTTGTTGAATTTTCTACCAAAGTGTAGAATTATTAACTAGCAAAGATATTTCTTGCTATCTTTGTAATTGTACCTTTGCCACTTTCCCCCCACTGCATGTCTGGTCCCAAACTATGGTTTCTTGTTTTATCTCTGTCTTTTAGTTTAATCCAACTGTTTCAGTGTGGTGTGTTTTATGGAACTAGTTTTAGATTGATGTTGCCTGGTTTACTCTAGGTTTTTCCTTTTAAGTTGATTTTTATTCTGAATTTGCTGCCTTCTAGTTA